AGGGCGAGCATGTTTGGTGTGACGGGGATCCGAACCCGCGACCCTCAGATTGCGAGTCGAGTGCCCTAACCACCTGGCCATGCTGGGCCCAGTTTTTGAAGAGTAAATTTAACATCAAAACAAAGTTTACTGATTTATAAACTAAGTTACATCATTTTGTTTCTAAATGTTACTCGATATAACATCATGAAGCGAATTTTGGAAGTTTATTTTTATATAATTGACCTGAACATACACAAGGAACTCGTGGGTCACAGAAGTCAAAATCACTAAAGATTGATTTCTTTAATATGGCGTCACAACGATAATAAAATGATGATCAGTTTTAGCTTACCGAGAGACATTAAGCAAGACGATATTATAAGATCATACGTTAAGAACTTATGATTAAACTATTAATCAAATGATATAATAATTCTAAGTCAGTTTTATCAGTGTTATTAAAGTGTTCAAAAAGTGAACCCGCGCGGAATGTGAAATTCTCATGACTTTCTATTTTTTCTTCTAACGACAGTTTATGAAAAGATAAGACGTAAAGTCAATAAAACAGTGTCTTAATAAGGTGCTGTAGCGAGATACCCAAGATCCTTTAACGGATTCGTAGTCTTTTCAACAATATTCTCCGTGAAAATTCTGATAATTTTTCATAAATATGTTCGTTTCAATATTGAATAATAGCATTTTATGATTAAGAATATGAGCAAGATCTAATCTGTTGACGTTTTTCTTTGTTAAATTAAAATCTGCTCGAAGACGTAAACCGAAGCGCATTGCTGCGCTAGATTTATAGTAACAACGCAACCAACTGTGGATGTGGCAGTACGTCATTTCGATAGATCCACTACATCATTAGTGTAGCTAAACTTTCGGTGAATACAAAGCCACGTTCTTTAAGTCGCTGTTATATGGTACAGCCACACTTTAGTTTAATTTACTGTAGCGCTTTCAGTTTCCTTCTGTAATCAAAATTCAAAGATAAGGCAAAATGCATTTTACAAATCTTAATACCACTCCTAATGTCCAATTTTATTATATAGTTATAGATAATAGACAATTCAGTCTTTCACAAATAAGGCTAGTTTAATTAACAGTCTAAAAAATGAAGAACTTGACTCAAGAATAAGAAATGCACGAGTTTGAAACCGGTAAAGTAAAATCGAGGTGTTTTTATATTCTGCACATATATTACTTATTTTTTTTAGTTCATTTATATAAATGAGCGCTCGTCTTAGCTGTGTGTTGGATAGGGAGGAGGATTAGTTTATTACTGCATTACTTGAATTCGGAGAATGAATTTCAATTTTAATTCTTCTAACAGTATTGTTTAGTGACGTAGTTTTTTAAAATGTTAAATGTTCTTCATACAGTTAAGTATGTATTATAGACCCTAGGATACCAGCTAATAGCTTTACTTATCATTCCCAGTGGTGTATTTATAGTAGCATGTTTTATTAGCATCCCCCCCTCTTGGAACTAACTATTGGAAGGCAGTCATAGTCTTAGTATAGTTTTCCATAAATACAAAATACAAATAATAATTAACAACGGTGATTAAAACTGCAATGGCTTTGCATTTAATAATAATTAGCAAATTATATTTGACAAGGATTTAGGGCTACAACCCACCACCTATGCTAAGGGATCGACTGTCACTCTTATAAAAAATAGGGATAATACAGATTCGAACCATGCTCTTCAGCTCCGAAATCTAGAACTTTGTTAAGGTCAAAAAGTTAAGATAATTTAGTGTACTTGTATAAAATAATTCTCGAAATATTTTTTACATTAAACTGTTGAATACGTTTGTTTCACCAAATCTACCATAAAAAAAAGAGATATGCACTTATCGCTTAACTGCCTGTCACTTAGAACTACTGATCATACATTTTGAAAAGTAGATATAAGAATTTCTTACTATCATTTCTCCAATAACTAACTCCATTTTTTGCAACTTCATTTTGATACTATTCTAGCCTCTCAGGTCAAATGTAAGGACTGCTATGCGCTGATAGCTTGTGTGTAGCTTTGCGCGAAAGTTCTAAAACCAAACATTTATGCAACTTATTTACCGAAAACTTTTCTGAAACCAGTTAAACAACTACACAGTCTCCCTTGCTTTCTTTGCCAACGTATTAATAAACCAAACCTTTTAACAAAAAAACAAAACTTTTAACCGAAGAAAACCTATTTGATAAATATTCAATACGCTATGTACATTATAACACTTAAGAATTCTGATCTGAAACATATGTGCAAATATTTTTTGCTACAGCTGGCGACAAAGTCATAACTCTCTCTGCATAAGGGCACGGGTTGGCCCTGTGGTAGATCTCTGGATTTCGGGGTTAGCAAGCCAGGTTCGAAACCGTGCGATACCACAAAATATTTCTCAGGCTTTAAGCTGTGGTTGCATTATAAGAGTAAGATTCAATTCTTTACCGTGAGTCGTCCAGTGGGTCAATGGTTAGTTTACGGACTTACGACACTAAAATGCGGGGTTCGATTTCCGGTAAGGGACTCAAATAGGCCATTGTTTAGCTTTGCGTTAAACAAACAAACTTTAGTGTAGTTGGTGGGTGTTGCTTGATTGGCTGTCTTACTTCCGGGCATTAATTTAAAATTAGAGATGGCAGCAGATAACTTTTGTAGAATTTCCATAAATTTAAAATACAAATATTAAAACAACGGCTTCACCAATGCTTGTAATGTGAAAAGAAAATCTTTAAATAAATAATTTAATTGGGAGTTTTAATAATTTGTTTGACTGTTTAGAAGTCATTGAGATCATATGAGATAATCAAAATAAATTAATGAAAATAAAACAGTAGTTTTAACCAAATAATAAGAACTATATTTTTTGGGAATTTCTTATTTATTATTAATAATAAAACTTTCTATTTCTTAACAGTCTATCTACTGATTTGGTGGAAGTTATTAGTAAGATGTTTTCTATTTGGTACTTCCAAACCAGATTTTTTATATTGTTTCATAATCTTATTCTTTCAATTCTACTGAAATATCCAAAATGTGATAATAAAAGTAAAAAAATGTAGTGGTAGCAGTTCTTTCACTAACTTTGTTCCCAGGTGACTTGAAAAGCATTTTAAGAGGCCTAAGCCACACCGAAGGCGTTAACTCCTTGTAGGGAGTCCGAAGGCATGCTTTCCCGGAAAATCTTTAAATATTAGATTCAAAGTCGTGCATTCTGAGCACTTTTTTGGGGATCTTTTTGAGCCAGATGGTTCCATGCCAAAATGTTACTTTCTTCTTCAGACCAATTTACTATTTATTGTTATTGATGCATTTTGAAAGTTTCAGTAAAAGTTACAACCAAGACATCTTGTATGATGCAAATGTTATTTTGCACAAAACTCAAATTCATATCCGTAAATGCGTGGTCTAAAAGCAACAGGCCATAAAGAAATAATATTCAGTTTCTATACGCTTGGGCTATTTTACTTGGTAACTGGAATAACTAAAATATATTCACGATTATTTCAGGGACATATAACATTTTTCTTTATGACAAGAAATATTTCATATGTCGATATCATCATGCCTTCTTTGACAGAAATGATACAGAGAATAACTGAACAAAGTTCGCTTAATACACAAATCTTTCAAATACCTTGTAATATCAAAGAAAAAGATTACAGATATTAATATGTGTATAAAAGGTTTTTAAAGTAACGATTATTTTCTTTACAACATGAAATGCTACGAATCAGGATAACTAGATGCTAAGAAAAAATGCTGTTTATAAAATACAGTACTTCAAACATTTTCATATGGTTGCTAGAATCAGCATTAGAAATTTGTGCATTGAACTTTAAAGGTTATTTGCTGGTGAAGATTAAATTTTGAAATTTTGATTTGAATCTCATAATACAGTTATATTTTGTTACACTAAAAATGGACTCCAGTCATGCACACGTGTTCAGCTAGTGGAGTTGTGTTTTTTATACTAAAATGGACTCCAATCGTGCATTCGTGTTCAGCTAGTGGAGTTGTGTTTTTTATACTAAAAATGGACTCCAATCATACATATGTGTTCAGCTAGTGGAGTTGTGTTTTTTATATTAAAAATTGACTCCAATCATGCACACGTGTTTAACTAGTGAAGCACAAAATAGGCAAGAAAAGGTTAATGGGCATGTGTTTTGTCGTAGATATAGCTCATTGTAAACTCAAATGTCCTAGTATGCGTTAAAAAAACGAAACACTGAGGAAAAGTACAAACCGAATTTCATCAGCGTTTATCGGAAGAAGTCTGTGACAGACTGTTGACCATTTTTATTTTCATTTTATTCCTTTTATTTTCGTCTCCATGCTGCAACTTGATCGCTACTACACACAAACTTGCGAGAAAAACACGTTTTTTCCGAACAAGATTACTTTTCACTGACCAATGAAATTACTAGTTGTAGATGTAAATAGAGATCATGCCAAATTTGTATCAGTTTGGAGACATAAGTGTAATTACTTGAATCCTCAAAACACAATATTTGTTGTATGTTGACTGCCGCGCGAAGAAAGAGTTCGAGATTATATCATACCGTAATCAGCCAACATCACCTGTGCTTCTCTGTGAAAGATCAAATTAGATAATACAAAGTCTTAAATGGAAATACCCGAACTATTCCGAAAATGATAAATAGAGAAAAGTCTCGAACCCTCCACATTTGGTTTCAATTTGCTAATCTACAAAAGTTGGAGAGGAGCCAAAACTCAAACACATGTACCAGACGAAATCGTTACTATTTTTAGAATAGGAATTTTAGTTTTGAGTTGAAAACTGGAAATAATCGCGGATAGTTTTTACAAAAGTTTTTCCTTTTTTCTTATTATTATTTGGAATTTGAACTGCCCCTGACACGTTTTGAACTGGTTATTTCGGCCGCTTGCCAGTTGTTAATGAAAACCCTGTATACTTTTTTTCTACTTCAGTGAATTATTTCATTTGTTCTTAGTGTTGTGTTATATAACATGTCAAACTCTGTCTTTTCAAGTTCTTTATTAAAATACGATCTCAAAGAGGAAGCAATGGAATATTTACTTATTTTGTTTCAAATCATAAATCAGTATATAAACATGAAAAAATTTAATTAACGACACTTTTAATTCCTTTTCAAGATTTGGAATGCTTGCTTGTTTGTACTTAAGCACAAAGCTACACAATAGGCTATCTGTGCCCGCCACGGGTATCGAAACCTGGTTTTTAGCGTTGTAAGTCAGCAGACATACTGCTGTGCCACTGGGTGGCGATTTGGAATGACATCGTAATTACTTACCCTAGGGAAGACCTTCAGTACACTGTAATTTCTTACCCTAGGGAAGACCTTCAATACACCGTAATTTCTTACCCCAGGGAAGACCTTCAAAACACCGTAATTTCTTGACCCTAGGGAAGAACTTCAAAACACCGTAATTTCTTACCCTAGGGAAGACCTTCAATACACCGTAATTTCTTACCCTAGGGAAGACGTTCAATATCAAAGATGTGGGCCCAGCATGGCCTGATAGTTAATACGCTCGACTCGCAATCTGAGAATCGCGGGTTCGAATCTCTGTCACCGAACATGCTCACTCTTTCAGATGGGGGCGTTATAATGTGACGGTCAATCCTACTATTCCTTCCTAAAAAAGTTGGCCGTGAGTGGTATTGACTAGCTACCTTCCTTCTAATCTATCACTTCTTAATTAGGGACGACTAGCGCATATAACCCTCGTGTAGCTTTGTGCGAAATCCAAAACAAACCAAACCAATCAAAGATTTATATCGTTGTTGTCATGGTGACTCATTCTATTACTATAATTTCTCAAGACCAACTAGTAACTATTTTGTTTGTTTGTGTCGTAAGAAAATATTTCCCAAAAAGTCTTATTTAATTAAATTTCAACAACTCATGCATCAAGTCATATTCATAGCTCAGCATTTTCAGATAAAAGTACTATTAATTATGAATTTCCATATTTTTTTAAATAAATTCTTGAAATATCAAAGAAATGTCTTTAAAATGTATATATTTGTTTGCCATGTTTCTTTTCAAGTTAAAACCTTTGGGGAAAATAAAAATTGGATCTCTTTTTCTCTCTCTCTCTCTTTCTTTTTTAAGTTGTAAAACATTAAGTAAATCTAATCTGATTTTCTCCTTTTCGATCGCAACATTTATTAAAAATGAAAAATATATATGTTATTTACGCCAGTACTTGGGAAACTGATTTACCCTCTTTCGGAAAAGATTACACAAAGAAATGTAAATAATTTTTACTGTATCAAATTTTCACATTTTTTGCGAACATAATAGAAGCAGTTGAGATTTTAGCCTTACATTGCTTGTGTACTTTTGAGATTAAAGATATTCTGACAAACTTGAAAAGGCTGTGTTAAGTACGACTGAACGTATGTTTAATAATTCATTTTCATGCTTGTTTCTCGATCAGTACTTTTCTTTATATCGCAAATAAATTTTTTCTCAAATATTTACTAACTAAACATAGGTATATGTTATATTTTAAACTTAATCAGCAATTGTTAGTTTAAACTATATACAACATGTGTTTTTCTCGAAATACTTAGCACGAAACTTGCTCTTTTCAATGGAAATGTTTTTCACATCGGACCATCTGCTGTGTCCACCGAGGGGATCGAACTCCCGATGTTAGCGTTGTAAATCCGTAGACTTTACCGCTCTCCCACCAGGGTTTTTTTTTTATGTTTAGAAAGCATGGAATATTTTACCACATATGTTAATAATTTTGATATCTTTTAAATTTACCAATCCAGTGTCCGAGAGATACCGAAATCATCAATATCATAGTATTCTCAAATTATAGGCTCATTAGTAGCGGCGTGTATGCCAATTAATACAAAGAATGATTTCGAGATGTTTCATATAGAAGTATTTATAAAGAACAAAGTATAAACTTATGAAACCATTTTTCACTGTTGAATTCCTCATCAGTTGTTGACCTATTTCTCTCCATTTTTTGTCTCACCAAAGATCCATCTGGTTCACTGGAATACTGAACTGTTCCACAGTTTCGACGAGGCAGCGTCAAATAAGAAAGGTTTGGCAGTGTTGGGTGTATTTTTACAGGTGCGTCAATTCGTGTTAGTTAATTTAAAAAAACGTTTAATATAAATTATTTAACTTTTCTTAAACTAGTTTTCTCATGAACAATATGCAGTTGACTGAAGATTAATAAAAGCATAATAAAATATTTTTTTTCTTCATTTTTCCCGTTTATTAACTATGATCAGTTATATTTATAATTTTCGTCAGTAATTAGGCACCAATATTACATAATATTATATTTAAGAAAATACGGTATAGATATTTTCTTATAAATTAGTCTTCTTAATATATACATGGTGAAAATAATACTTAATTCAATTATAATTTGGCGACTTTATTATATCCATCGGTTGATTGTGTTAAAACTTTTAAATTTTTCGCTACAGAAAAGGCTTAGGTTATTTTTGTTACCCTATTTTACTTAATATTGGGTTTAAACAAGAAGTAGCTACTTTTTTTTATAAGTTAGGACGTATGAAAAATCAATCTGTGACAAAAACAAGCACAAAAATTCAATAACAAGATGTTTATACTTATGATTTTAGAAACTTTCTGTTTGCATAAATAGAAAATAGCTTAAAAATGTTATGCGGTGTGAGAAAAACGAGAACAAGGGCTTTTAAATGTTTTGAACGATCGATTAAAATATGATTTAACAGTTGCTATCATTTGATACTCGAAGTGAGAGTATGATTCAAACAATTGCTATCGTTTGATACCCGAAGTATGAGTATGATTTAATGGTTGCTATCATTTGATACCCGAAGTGAGAGTATGATTCAAATAATTGCTATCATTTGATACCCGAAGTATGAGTATGATTTAACAGTTGCTATCATTTGATACCCGAAGTGTGTGTATATGATTTAACAGTTGCTATCATTTGATACTCGAAGTGTGAGTATGATTTAAAATTTGCTATCATTTGATACCCGAAGTGTGTGTATATGATTTAACGGTTGCTATCATTTGATACCCGAAGTGTGAGTATGATTTAACAGTTGCTATCATTTGATACTCGAAGTGTGAGTATGATTTAAAATTTGCTATCATTTGATACCCGAAGTGTGAGTATGATTTAACAGTTGCTATCATTTGATACCCGAAGTGTGAGTATGATTTAATGGTTGCTATCATTTGTTACCCGAAGTGTGAGTATGATTTAACAGTTGCTATCATTTGATACCCGAAGTGAGAGTATGATTTAATGGTTGCTATCATTTGATACCCGAAGTGTGTGTATATGATTTAACAGTTGCTATCATTTGATACCCGAAGTGTGAGTATGATTTAACGGTTGCTATCGCTTGATACGCGAAGTGTGAGTATGATTTAACAATTGTTATCATTTGATACCCGAAGTAATTTCATTAATAGTATCAACTAAGCTGTTTAATATACATATTTATAGATATACACACACATAATAAATTCGTTTTATTTGTATTATTTATTACTATGATTAGTTTGCACTACGAGCTTAGTATATGGATTTAGGATTAACCTAAAATCTCCTGATCGAAACTCGTCAGATATTATTAAGATTACGGTTAGTTATGTTAACCATAGGTTACATTTTAGTTCTGATGTTTATAGGTAACTAGCTTTGATCAGTAGCCAATGACAACAACAAATATGGTGGTCGAAAAATATATTTGATTATATCATCGTTTCTGTAGATCGGAGATGAACATGCCGAATTGAGGAAATTGACTGGTAAGATGACACAAGTCAGTTACAGAGGTCAGAAAATACCCCTTGTTGATGGATTTGACCCTTCAACTTTAATTCCAGGTAAATTTTAGTTACTGTTGTTTTGACCAGAAATTACGAGAGATAAACGCAGAAAACTATTCGTCCTGGAAAATATGATTTGCTAGACATATAATCGGTGTTAAAATTAATATTTAGAAGAATTTTTTTAGAACGTTATTTTTATGTGGGAAAGTATGTACTCATAAATACTGGGTGTATTTTATTAGTTGTTGCACCAATGTAAAAACCAAAAAACAAAACATATGTGGAGCACAGGTTGTAAGCTCTGTTTAGTAAGCATGTAACAAGGTTTCATTTAAACAAAATATATTTTCTAAACAGGAGTGTGAGTATACCTAGTAACATCAACTAAATACATAACACAGATCTGCGAATTTAAACTTAATAAAAGTTGTTTTGGTTTTAATAGCGGATTTTCCATAATTTAGCTACGAAGATTTCAAAAATAATGTTTATTTTTTTTCTATCACATAAGGATTTTTTACAAATCGAGAAGAAAAAACAACTCTTACTTAGATCAAATTTACAACAGATTTATCACAAATATAACAGAATATATTTGGGTCATTTACACAACCTCTTGTTGCTATAACGACGAATAAATAATAATTGAAAATAAAAAATAATGTCAAAGTGCACGCACAAGCAAATACTATCCAGAACTGAAACTTAATACGGCCTGTTAACCGTTTATTTACTAGCGGTGTGTTTCTCTTGGGTTCTAGAATAATCGATACGACTCTCAAGTCGCGATTAGTCTAGAGAAATGTATAGCCAGCGGTGGTCAACATTTTAAGCATAATAAAAAATGATCCGATTTCAATGAAAATTATTCACTTATGTAAAAGTACATAAGACGTTTTGTGAAAACTCTGTACGTAACGGAGAAAAATGGATATCATTTTTGGATTCAGCGTATAGGTTTTACCGTAAAACATGTAAACATTTTAAGACAATAAAACCATCGCGGACCTGTGTAATCACTAGTAATTACTTACCTTTACCTTTATACATTGTAGCGGATCACGCATACTGGACTTATGAAGGATCACTTACCACCCCTCCCTGTTACGAAAGCGTTACATGGATCGTGTTTAAACAACCTCTACAGGTTTCTGAACAACAGGTTTGTATATGCATATAGATAGTTTGGAAATGTTTGAGTAAATGAGATTATGAAATTTTATAAGTTTAGAATGTTCAGAAATGTTCACTGTAATATATAATGCTTTTTAACATATTTTTTTTCTCTTCAGCTAGAGCTGTTTGTAGCTTTCATGTTTATGTTTTGAATTTTGTTTCGTCTGAAGTTGGTTTTTAAAGTTTATTTATTATTTTTACTCCTTTTTTCAATCAACGCAGAGTGAAACATAAGAACAAGTCTCCTACTGATTCAGGCTAATTTATGACTTATCCATTTATTTGTAGCGTTTACGTTTTTATTTTGATGTGATAACTGCACAGTTTACTTATTTGGTAGCTTAGAACGGGGATATTTCCGTATATGCATTGTTTTGGTTTTCGCATAATAATGTTTATGTTAATAACTTTCTTTCCCGCTTTGGCATAACAATATGTCATTATTTCTACTTAAAATAATTCTCTTTGTACTGATGATTTGTAGTTTTAGCAAAATCTCTGTTTTACTTTTTCTTTTATACCTTTAGCATAGCGATATCTGTAACGCCCACTCTTATTATTGTTCAACTGTAATTCGTTATTAGGCTTAGCCGTATTGTTTTAGCATAACTTTAACGTAACGTTTACTCTTCTCTTAGTTTTAATCTATACTAACTTGGTTATTTTATGGAAACTGGTTCTCTACGACTTTGTAAGAAATGTAGTAAAACTATTTTTTTGCACAAAAATTAAGCATATTATTAGGAAATTAAAATATACTCACGTATTGTTTATGAGGTAATCAATCAGTGAAGCATATTTTCTAAATGCAGTACTGTAAGTTACCTATTTCATTCATTGGTGTATCTGTTTGTTAACAAATTACAGAAAACTTATTTTTACTTTCTTTCGTATCTTTACAGCTTAATAAATTCCGAAAATTGCGTAGTTACGGTGAGGGTGAAGCCAATCCCGGTGGAGAATTTTTTGGACACATTATTGAAAATTATCGCCCACCTTTGCCGATAGGTGATAGGGTTCTTCATACTACTCCGAATTAAAAAAAGTGAAATATTAAATTTTGATCACATCCGTGAAATCACTGTTTTGTAAACTTCTAGTGTATTGCATCTTTATTTTTGTAGCTTTGTTGAGCATCTAATATTGAGTTAGTTATTATCAATTTTGCTTATTTAAGTATATTTTTCTGAGTAATACCACGAAATACAACCTGAGAAAACAAATACCTATATAAAAAAACCAAACAACAACAACAACAACTCTCTTTCAAACTACAGCCTCGAACGTGCAGTCTAACCTTACCTTGTATGGTATTGTGAATTTAAACAAGCGCATAATGAGCTTCGTACAAACACGAGAAGCAGCGTTTTAAAAATATCTTTTTAGGGTTTGGTTTTAATAAAATTTAATAGTTCTTAGGATTATTCATATCCATAGTAACCTCTCTCCGTAAGTCAGGAGATATCACCATATTTTGTTAATAGTTAACTGCAGTGTTAGCTAATAAGCGTAATTATACATATATATATATATATTACGCATAATACTTCAGTCATTTGTCATCTTAATTTTTTTATAATTTCATTATTACAGTTTCTCTTTTATGCATCAAACGATTTAACATATATTATATTTCTACGGAAGAGCTTATTTTACATTAACAGCGAATAACTGATCCATTATTTTATACTCACTGTGGTCTGAGCTTCAAATGAAAAGTCTTTGGTTTCGCGACTACAACATTTTTGTTTAAAAAAAAAAATAATTAATGCCAGTTTTTCAGAGCACAAACATATGTTATGGGGGAACGTCATTGCACACAGTGTTTGAGAATATTGTTCAGCACAATTCAGGAAGAGTTAAGCAATTTATTTATCTCTCATTATTTATTGACTTTTTCACCCTCTCATTTCCTGTATTCAGTGTGACATAAATTGTCAAGGAGTTGTACATCTACAAAGATAATATTAATATTTGGCATATCTTGTTTTGAAAGACTGTTAATTAAGCAAAACTATGCTTTCTGGATGCAAATGCCTCCAGGATTAGTAATATCTTTTAATTTATATCTTGTTCCTGGCTTTATATACTGTTAGCCAAATCACGCTTCTCAACAACGCAATGTTAGACTGCATACAGTGATCCAGCGTTTTATCTCTCACTTAAAGATGATTATATATTTGTCAAACGCGGAACAAGTGCTTACATAAATTAATCCCCACCAATCAAAGCACAATTTATGAATAAAAGTTAAATTAAATAGTGTTTACTTAAAAAATTATTAAAAGTAAAGGAACACGTTCAAGAAATTCATACTATGTTTTCCTTTCGAATAAAGTCTATGACACGTGGTTGAACGTACAAAAACCGTAATTTGATCATTTCTTGTCACAATATTAATCAAGAAAATTTTATATATTTTTTAAAATTTTTAGATGTGTCCCAGTTCATTTATCCAGTCAGAAATGTTCTCAAAAGTTTTTGATTTCAGGTGCTCTAGGTTGTGCGTCCTTTAAAAATAACTATAAATAACTGATTTTTATATGAAATATTTAATACAAAGAACACCATTTTAAGTCATATGAGTTGTAAGAAGATTAGTCAATATATTCCGTTTACTGTTACACCCTCATTCACCATAAACTAGTTCCAGATTAACTCTCAGTCATTTCTTAAAACCAGTTCGAAATCTGTTTACCATATAACGTTTACTCACACGATTAAGTAACGAACATCACTAATAGTCTGAAATGGAAACTTTGAAAGTGATCAAATTTATAGAAATTCAGGATAGGTGTTTTATTTTTCATATAAAGACATTTATAATTTTGCTATGTTTTATCGGAATAGAAGTATGATTTACTTGGTGATATATCGTATTTTTTATCTTTTGAATAATGAAAATGTCTACTACTAGATTAGACGAGTAAGATCGGGAAGTAAAAATACAATATCCAGGTACATTTGTTTAGTATGAGTTCATTTGCTATAGAAGTCGCTCTTTCTAGCTTATTTACCATGACTGTTAAGTATGATATAAATAAATGTTTTTGAAGCATAGCTATCGAGACGTCATATCAAAGATTATTCACATTTATTATATATTACTTCTGTGTTTCATTTCCTCCCACGAAGGTGGTTGTTTTATCTATAGAAGTTCAATATTTGTTGTCGTGAGTAAATGAATTGGTAAGTTATTCGACAATGTCAAACTTATATTTAATAGATATCCATAGCTGTTGCTTATATTTTAGCTAAATAAATTACTTTATTTCTCTAACTCTAATGCCACCTGGTTTTTTAAGAGAAATCAGTTTTATTTACAGTGTTGTTGTTCTTATAATCGAACTGTAAGCATACATATATATATATTTGTGTGAGTATTTATTCGTTAACTGTATGTAATCGAAGTATTTCAGACTGATATGAATATGTACCTTTGTATTTTAGCTGCTGTAACTGGTATTTTTCTTGTGGATCAATAAAAATAATATATATTTAATTTACGTATAAATATCATTAATATTTTGCATCCCTGATTTTTTTGAAAAATCATTCCAATTATTTAAACGACGTCTTAAAAGCTGATAACTTTAACCTTTTATTGTTATCCGACCAGCACTGATAAAGCGTAGTTTTGCGTTTTTACTATAGTGTGTATTTGTTATAATTTATTTTTCAAAGTTATTTTAATTAACCTTCAACGAATAAGTTAATTCACAAGATAAATTATGTATCAGACTAAACAGTAAGCATTAAAAGTTTATAAGGCTTCTTAGTATTCTTTAAAAATGGTTTTTAAAGATTCTGTTGTTAACGTGATTAATGACGTTTCAATAAACACAATATAATCCATACAAATACATTTAAAATAAGGGAACATCGACCGATTCCCTGAGAAAAAAAAAAACTGCATTAGTATTCTGGAATTGAATTCGTCACGCACTAAACATGTACAACTGACCCTTCATTTGCAATACAATTTGACTCCAGAATGATGTGATCTGAAGACAGTTAAAAACCAATTCCCCGATGGAACAGCAGTAAGTTTACGAACTTACAACGCTAAAATACGGGGTTCAATTCCGGTGTACACAGCAGATAGTCTTTTGTGACTTTGCTCAAAAATGAAGAGGGAAAAACAAAAGGGTTAAAAACAAGATAAAATGTTATCATTTTGTAATGTAATTATTTTTAGTGCTAAGGTTCTTTTCCAGCGTGTCGAATGTGGCCCAGTGGTTATCGTCCCGGACTGTACATTTGCGGGTCCAATGTTTGTGTCCCGTTACCCAACCGAACAAAGTTCACGTTCTGTAGATTAGGGCCATGAGTGCATTATAAGGGTGACTGTCAAATTTCGCTATTGGTCAAACAAGGTTTGAGTACGTTATATTAAAAAGATTTGGGTATGCAAATAACCAATTACGTGACAATCACAGCTGATGTAAAGTTGTGATGGAACAGTGTATATTCTAACTATGTTTTGACATTGTTTGGCGTTCGTTTGTCTGTTTGTAATTAAGCACAAAGCTACACAAAGGGCTATTGTGCTCTGCCCACCACGGGTATCGAAACCCGGTTTCTAGCGTTGTAAGTCAGCAGACATACTGCTGTGCCACTGGAGGGCTCACTGTTAATAAATCATGAATTATATGACTCAGACACAAGCTGAGAAAAATCTTTACATGTAACATAAAATTGGCTTCTTGGTATTATATTTACCTTGCATGAGCGTGGCCTAGTGATTATTATGTAACCTACGGTTCTAAAGGTCTAAGGTTAGAATGTCGCTAACACACTTCATAATATTCAGTTGTTACGAAATTGACAGTTCAAAATAAAAAGAAAAGCATGAATTAAAACTTTTAGTTTATATGCGCAAGTCGTCACTAATTAAGAAGTGACAGATTAGAAGGAAGGCAGCTAGTCAATACCACTCACGGCAAACTCTTGTGCTATTCTTTTAGGAACGAATAGTAGGATTGACCGTCACATTATAACGCCCCCACTGCTGAAAGGGCAAGCATGTTTCGAACCCGCGACCCACAGATTACGAGTCGAGCGCCCTAACCACCAGGCCATGCCGGGCCTATACATATTTGTTAGGAGAGTATTTAAATACTTTGAAGCATTAAAAAAAACAACTACCAACCAGTCTTTATTCACAACATGTTAAATTATATAAAAAAGTGTAACAGAACTTTAAGCCTCAGTTTCATTAAATTTCATAATTTTGTTTTGGCTACTCAGGAAAAGTCATGATAATATACCATGAATAAAATTTATTTCTAAACATACTGATATCAATACTTGCTTGATTTGTTCATGAGTTTCATTTCTCTTTGACTGATAGCCATTTTTGGGCCCGGCATGGCCAGGTGGTTAAGGCACTCGACTCGCAATCTGAGGGTCGCGGGTTCGAATCCCCGCCATACCAAACATGCTCACCCTTTCCAGTCGTGGGGGCGTTCGTTGGTAAAAGAGTAGCCCAAGAATTGGCGTGGGTGGTGATGACTAGCTACCTTCCTTCTAGTCTTACACTGCTAAATTAGGGACGGCTAGCGCAGATAGCCCTCGTGTAGCTTTGCGCGAAATTCAAAAACAAACACAGCCATATTAAAGCAAATTTATTCCATTAATTTTCATTTTAAGTAATGCTTAGGATACTATATATATTGTATTTCTTACGAACATCAAAGTGAGAGAATGAGTGTTAGATAATGAAATTTTTCATTCAATCTCCCAGAAACTTCAAAGTTTTAGTCAAACAAAAAGTTAAAAAATATGGTAAAATTAAAAAAAAACTGACAAATAAATTAACTTTCTAAGAGACAAATAGTTGTATCTAAGAAGTTGAAAAATAATTAAATTCAACTGACTTAAAACCAAACGAATAGGTTTACCTTTACTCCTGTCCCCTGGCTGCTCAGCGGTAAGCCTGAGGGCTCTCTAAGTTTAAAATCCAAGGCTCAATTCCTGCAGTGGAAACAGCTCAGATAGCCTGTTGTGCAACTTTGCGCTAAACAACAAAACAAACTTTTTCTCTTCTTTAAACACTTGAACAAGTGTCCCAACACTTAACTTAATACTCCAAATTAAGCCCAGTTGAATGTTTTAAACAAATTAGCAATAATAATAAGCACTCTAACTTCAGCTATAAACAGACTCCAGTAAAATATCTACTTTTTATTTTCTTTATTTCAATTATATAGTGAGAACAATATTAAGATCTTGACTTAATAATTTTTTCTCAATTACTTTAATATTTGTCGCACGAAAATGATATATACTATGATTCTAACCCAAAACTGCATATTACTGTCATTATGATGATTCTTTTTTTTTTATTATTTGATAAACAAAATACGAAGTCCAGTCCGCTCAATGATAATAAAAGCGATTTATTTCGTCGACTGTGTAATGTACAAATTTGACAAACTTATCTCTAACTCACAAATATAACGGAAGAGTCATTTACCTACAAACTATTTTCTTTGTCGAAAACCAAATCCAAAATTTACAGCACTGAACTGACTTAATAGCTTACTAGTTCACTGATTGACTGGGCGACTTACTAACTGATTAATTAACTTACTCGCGTTCGTGTTTTATGCAATATCCCCCCCTCCCCAATCTACGGAAAATTAGACATTTCACGTCAAATCTATACACTCAGGAAATTTCTAGGCATCACACATCATCATTGTGTCATGCCAAAATTATATTGAGCAAACCATACAAAGCATTTAAGTTACA